GGTGCTAACCACTGAGCCATCTTGCAGCCCCTAGAGCAAACTTGCAAATCATATATATAGTCATATATACATATATGTAACATGTTCATTGAAGACATACGTTTTTTCACCAAACTGCACAACCATGTAACGGTTACAGAATTATTCAACTGTCCACTGAGATTACCTGGTTGAGTTATAGAGACAGATGGTGGTCTGGTTTAATACAGAAAAACTTGAGAAACAACATGTTTATTTTAGTCTCTCACTAACTTTTGTCAAAGTGTTTCTGTTCTGTTCTGTTCAGACAGTCTGGATGTGAACCTTGTCTGTGATGAGAGAACTGAGCGCTGTGTGTGATGCATTTCATAAACAAGAACATTTTCCAGCTAGTGATTGTATTTTTACCATGAAGTAGTTTGAAAAAATGAAATAATATATGAACAGAGTTAGAACTGAAGAGGAGAGACACGACTCAGGACATTTGGATTTCACTCTTTAAAACTGTGGTATTGAATTGTATCAAAGAACAATCTCCAGTGGCACATCGTCTTACCTGTGGTGATACAGATGGCCACCCACTCCACAGTGTCAGTATACTGTGACATCATTGTTGGGTGTGTTTACAGGTGCAACAGAACACACCCATCATCACTGCTGCTGTCAAGGAGTGTGAGCCTTCAAACTTTGAACAGGGGAGGGCAGTGCAGCACTGCTTTTTAGTCTGACACTGAGTTCCTGTTAAAGGTAACACTGAACCTGACTCAGTGGAGAAAATCTGAGTGAACAATACACTGTTTTTATATGAAGCGTATCTATTAAAATAAAATAGAGGTGAGTATCTTAGTATAAAGTTTGAATCAAGTTAAAGTACCCACATTTACATCAGAAGAAATCAATACACTTTGATGAAACATAACACTTAGATCCAGTGGGGATGAGAAGAACTGTTACATAAAATAAGAAAGGCAGAATGTTTATTGTGATAAAGCAAAGGGAGGTATTATCGTGTTGGATTCAACTCAGATGGTAGTTGATTGCATAAATTAAAAATGTCCTCTAAACAAAGGAGCATTCTAGTTTCCCTGAATCTCTACAACAGAGGTGAAGAGTTGACACATGAGTCTCTTTCAGACAGGCGCAGCACAAAAATGCATGAAGCCTGAGTTTGATCTCTTAACCCTCCAGTTTATTCTTGTAAAGTAAAGTCCTACAGTATCTATTTTAACCCAAACCAAGATATTTAAACCCCAAATGAAGCATTTGATGGTTTGAACATACAAGAGAGGATTAACACAGACAATTCCTGATCAGTCAGTGAGATTAGAGAATGACAGACTGCTAATGATCCATCATTGTTGTGTTTCTACAGATTCACCTACACAGAGGATCCAAACTACGGCCCATACCTGGAGAGTGTGAACGGTGTGGCTGGAAATGATCAAGATCATACCTACTGGGAACTGCTGGTCAAGAAACCAGATGGCCAAATCATAAGACCAGATGTTGGTACGTTCATTATGAAAACAACTGTCAGTCTTTGTTCTAGTAAACACACGTTAGTTCAATAACAACACAATATTTAACACTGTTTGCAGGTATTGGATGCTACATTCCCAGTGCAAACGAACAAATCATCCTGAGATTTACGAAGTGGTAAAGATTCGTCAGACACCATACAACCACATGGGATCAGAGCCAGCGATGGAATCGACTGTAGACTAATGTATTCTATAGATGAACAACATGTAGGTGTTTGTTGTTGAGTGATGGTGAGATCTGAATAAAATCTCCAACCATGTGTTGTCTTTATGGTCAATTTGAGTGAATTAGCTCTTTAAATTGGGCGGGAAAACGCTCCAAAGACACCCTGCT